CCACTGGGTACGCACTGTGAAGCATTACTCTCACTGGTATGTTTGGCTGAGATTATACCTTAGATGCCATCTTCATTCTTTAGTAATGACAGGCTCAGATTCAGTTTGTGATCACGGACAATGATCCAGTCAGAATGTGTTATCTTTCCTAGTTCCAAGATATTTTCCTGGCATAGGATCTCATCGCTTCTGAATGAACCAGGACAAAATCCAAAATCTGTCATTTCCCAAAGGTCAAATCTTACACAGTATATACTGTATATTACCAAAATTGATTCAATTGTATTAGTAGCTTTCACATTTACATATATTCATGTTGTAGTCCAATATAACAATTCAGTAATGAAACATCCTGTTGATGTCGATCCAAGGAGCAGGGCCCTCCTTTCCCTCTTGTATTGAACTGTATTGTTGCTGTATTGTCTCCCTTTATATTGTAAAGCGCTGAGCAAACTGTTGGCTATATAAATCCAGTATAATAATAATACTGTCTAGCCAGATTGTACTGTAGGTAGACACTGAAAGCATTGGTTTCACACAAAACTTTATGTACATGAAATCAAAACTCTCCATGGAAATCCTACCTTATTGTCTAGCAGGGTGAAAGGTGCTTCTGCAGAACCTATGTAGCCATGCCTTGACAGGAGTTAAATTACTGCATATATTTGTTCTGGGTGATGCATAAAATATGAAAATACATGCATAAAATATGAAAATACAAACAACACCCTGCTCTAGTATTTTTTTTTGTTTTGGAAACAGTGGGGAAGGATTATAAACCTGTGTAAGATATTTGTTTGGATGTGTTCCCATTTGAAAAATGTTTCCCTTACTTGAGGTCTTGATTACACTTTATATAAACAGGACAAACAAATGCTGCTCCAGGTGATTAGTGTGAACCATCCATTGGCCAAATTAAATGAAGGTGCACACACAACTCGTCTGTATGACTACAAACAGGAAAAACATGCTTTTAAATCTTTATTGTGTAGATAAAATCAGCATCACACACAGTGTCAGAGACATCAAAGGTTAACGCGTTTCACGCTAAAAACTAGCGCTTATTCATAACCACTAAACACCAACAAAACTGAACAACATATATACCTCTGTTTATTAATGGAAATGCCCGCACATAGAGCCCAAAGGCTCCTCCCAGCCACAACGGCAAGGATAGTATCAATAAAGGCAGGGCGGAACCACTTTTACATGGTACCGAGCCATGATCCAAATACTACAAGTTAAATGCCTATATAATCCACAAAGGATTTTCTCTTCCACAACTATATACTCTATTATTATTATTATTTCAGGTACTTACATAGCGCAGCGCTTTACATATATATTGTACATTCACATCAGTCCCTAACCCTCAAGGGGCGTACAATCTAAGATACCTAACTTACATTCATACATATTTAGACAGGAGCCAATTAACCTACCAGCATGTCTTTGGAGTGTGGCAGGAAACCTGAGTACCCGGATGAAACCCACGCAGGCACAGAGATAATTACAGAGAGAAAATAAACTAAAAATCATAAGATGATCACATTCAACGGTCTTGGAACCATGTAAAAAACATTGTTAGAGAAATAAGTGAATACATCGATAAATCATAATTCCTGGGGGTTGTGACCTGGTTCCAGCTTGCTGTAAGTCCATCCCCATCATCAGGGGCTCTGGTGAAGAAGCAGGCTGGGGCTTAGACTTCGCGCCCTGGGGAACCCCAAGTTGGCGATCTGCAAGGGCTTACTACTGCAGACGTTTGACAGTTTGCTCAGGCCATGAGCTCCTCAGAGACACCACAGCCTCTTCTGGAACAACTTCAGTGTTTGGCGCAGAGTCGATGTCTATCAGGCCTATCTAGAACAAATTATGCAGTGTCTGCAGGAACTTTCCTCCCATTTGGATTAGATGCAGGTTGTGTCCACTTCCTCACCCTCTGTTTTTGTTCCTGTTTTGGTTCCTGCTGTTCCGACTCCCGCTGTTCCTCCAGTGGAATACAGTCCTTCAAAACCCCAGCTGCCTCCACAGCCTCACTTCTCTGGTGATCCCAAAGCTTTTCGGGGCTTCATCAATCAGTGCTCAATTTACTTTGGGCTAGCAGCCCACCATTTTTCTACTGACCATTCCAAGGTGGTGTACATGATTTCACTCCTTTCTGGTGAAACTCTGGCTTTGGTCTCACCACTGTGGGAGCGTCAAGATCCTACTATTTCCAGTCTTCTAGCCTTCCAGCAAGCTTTCTGTAAAACCTTTGATGTGCCAGGCAGGTCTTCATCTAGAGTTCTTCTTCGTACAAGCACTGACAGCAAATAACCTGGCCTCTCTAAACTGAGAAGAGGCCAGATTATTTGTTGTCAGTCCTTATATGATTCAATGACGTGGTTGCAGAGGAGGCTTGTGTCCAGAGGAGGGATCCTGGTTCCATGCTGTCTGTCAGATCCATTTAAAGGGGGCTTCCTGCATATTCTTGTTCAACATATTGCGCTTTATTTATGCGCATCTAGTGAGTGCGCATTTCTTACAATCTTCCGCATGATAAAGTCGCATGGAATTATTGGATACCACTTTTGCATCAGGACCTGTTTGGAGCACTGTGTGCTGACCTGATTGTGTCAAGCCTTCACTATTTCATGAACACTTTTTTGTTATAAAACTTTTAACAGTTTCACATACTTTTTTGCGCCCATCATAGCGCTTTATTCACTTATATTTATTATCACTATTTATTAATGATTTATTGATTTATTACTATCATTGAGAATTATTATTCAATATTTTTTTTTTTTTTAGCTTACACTGTGTAATGTTATAGCGTTGCACTGTTTTTTCTGATTATTTGTAAAGTTTTAGGGTTCCTTTTTCAGTGCATATGCAGCTGGCTCAATTGGTTCCCTGAGCGCTCGCTGATTCTTTGTCTGGTAAGACTTGGTCTATGCCTTTTCCGTGGAGCAGAAGGTCATATAATAAAGTCCCTTTCTGTCCATCTAGAAAGCTCCCGGATCCTGGTCACTCTCAGGGAGGTGATCTAGACTAGAACTTGAATTCCCTCACTTTCCCTTGATTTATCATACCTGTCTCCATTCATCGGGCCCTGAACTCATATCAGGTTTCTGCATATGTGGACTCTGGGGCAGCCGGGAACCTCATCGAGCAATCCTTGGCCGCTGAATTGAGAATTCCTCTTGTCCCCTTGATGACGACCTTATCTGTAGTTGATGGCTCTGTCTTTTCCTTAGGATCTCTACGGTTCCAAACTAACCCCATAAATATGCATGTTGGTGTTCTTCACCGTGAGGAAATCTCCTTTCTGATCCTTCCTAAGTCTTCAAGTCCTGTCTTTCTTGGACTTCCATAGTTGCAGAAACACTCACCCTATCTAGATTGGAACTCCGGCCAAGTATTGTCATGGGGTCCTGCCCAATTGATATTGACCCGCCTGCCTGACGACGCTTGCTTGTATGTACTGTTATCTGTGGGTGGTTGGTTTGGTTTGTTTGCACTGTATTATGTTTAGTATTGCACTGCGTTTATGTTTGTATTGTTAGTGTTAATAAATTATATTGTTTATCACATATCTGAAGTCTGCGTTTCCCTGCGTCAGTCACACATCTCTGGTCATACCTGGGAGCCCTGACATTACACCAAGGCCAATCCTGACCAGAAGTGGCTGCACAGGGAAGCCATCTTGGCTTGTTGCTGGGAAGGATGGATCTGGATGAGGTTGTGTATTTATATCTGCTAGTGTTTGATGACAGGGAGTATGCTTATCAAACTCTGAAGGAGTATACCCGGGATGAACTGCTAGAATGTATACGGATCGCTCATGTTCTAGTAGATCAGGGCACAGAGTTCTCTGAGGTGCAGCCTTTGATTGAGGTTTGTGCAGAGTTGGTTTCATCTGGTACCCCCGAATGCAGGGATGAATTTTTGCCACCATTTAGTGCAGACCAGGTAGAGTCCCTGGTGTGGTTATTAGAGGATGATGTGGGTTACTTTCTGGAGCGTTATTCCACATGTTCACCACAGGTACTAAGAGATTGTATAAACGCAGTGCAGTCTTTGGTCAGACAGGCTTTGTGTAAGCTCAGCTTTGTTCAACCCATACTGCAGACATGGACAGACTTGTTGCACCCAGCCTCAGTCAGCTTACAAAAACCCAGTCCTGCTTCTAACTCTTCTCCTGTATTCCCACCAGCTCCTCCAGTTACAGCCCAGTATACTTGGCTATCTACCGCATGTCAGTACCCTGTTCCCACTCGCTGCACCTATCCTGCCTTTAACCCTGTAAGAAAGCCCTCTGTAGCAACTGCTCCCTCTCCTGTTCCATCCTCCAGTTCTTCTCTGTCTCCAGCTGCTCCATTCGTTTGCAGACCTGCGTTTACTTGCAGTGCTCCAGTAGTTAAAACCAGAAAAAAGCGAAAATTCTTTCCAACCAATACCATCCTGCAAGTATCAAAACCGGTGAACCTGCCTTCCGTGGTTCAGCCTGAAGCCTCTACTCAGCCTGAATCCTCTATTCAGCCTGATGCCTGTACGCAGCCTGATGCCTGTACTCAGCCTGATGCCTGTACGCAGCCTGATGCCTGTCTTCAGCCTGAAGCCTCTACTCGGCCTGAAGCCTCTACTCGGCCTGAAGCCTCCACTCGGCCTGATGCCTCCACTCGGCCTGAAGCCTCCACTCGGCCTGAAGCCTCCACTCGGCCTGAAGCCTCTACTCAGCCGGACGCCGGCATTCAGCCTGATGCCTCTACCCAGCATGATGAACTGATCCAGCCTGACGATCCTATTAGGCCAGTTGACTCGATGCCCGCTGTTGATCCAGATGATCCGGTACCTGATCCGGTGCCCGCTGTCGTGCCAATTGACTCAGAGCCCGCTGTCGTACCTGGTGACTCGGTGCCCACTGCCTTGCCAGATGATGCGGTGCCCGCTGGCGAGCCAAATGACCTGATGCCTGGTGACCCAGTGCCCGCTGTCATACCTGGTGACCCGATGCCCGCTGTCAAGCCAGACGATCCAATGCCTGGTGACCCGGTGCCCACTGCCTTGCCAGATGACGCGGTGCCCGCTGGCAAGCCAAATGACCTGATGCCTGGTGACCCAGTGCCCGCTGTCATACCTGGTGACCCGATGCCTGCTGTCGAGCCAGACAATCCGGTACCTGATGACCCGGTGCCCACTGTCGTGCCTGTTGACTCGGAGCCCACTGCCTTGCCAGATGACGCGGTGCCCGCTGTCGAGCCAAATGACCTGATGCCTGGTGACCCGATGCCCGCTGTCCAGCCAGACGATTCAATGTCTGCCCCAGTGCCCGCGGTCATGCCAGTTGACTCGGAGCCCACTGCCTTGCCAGATGACGCGGTGCTCGCTGTCGAGCCAAATGACTTGATGCCTGGTGACCCGATGCCCGCTGTCCAGTCAGACGATCCAATGTCTGACCCAGTGCCCGCGGTCATACCAGTTGACTCGGAGCCCACTGCCTTGCCAGATGACGCGGTGCCCGCGGTCGAGCCAAATGACCCGATGCCCGCTGTCCAGCCAGACGATCCAATGTCTGACCCAGTGCCAGCGGTCATGCCAGTTGACTCGGAGCCCACTGTCGTGCCTGGTGACTCGGCGCCCGCCGCTCCGCCTGAGGGCCTGAGACCTGTTGCTCCACCTGGGGGTCCGGCGCCCGCCGCTCCGCCTGAGGGCCCGAGACCTGTCGCTCCACCTGGGGGTCCGGCGCCCGCCGCTCCGCCTGAGGGCCCGAGACCTGTCGCTCCGCCTGGGGGCCCGAGACCCTGTCGCTCCACCTGGGGTCCGGCGCCCGCCGCTCCGCCTGAGGGCCCGAGACCTGTCGCTCCATCTGGGGGTCCGGGGCCCGCCGCTCCGCCTGAGGGCCCGAGACCTGTCGCTCCGCCTGGGGGCCGACCCGAGACCTGTCGCTCCACCTGGGGGTCCGGCGCGCCCGCCGCTCCGCCTGAGGGCCCGAGACCTGTCGCTCCGCCTGGGGGCCCGAGACCTGTCGCTCCACCTGGGGGTCCGGCGCCCGCCGCTCCGCCTGAGGGCCCGAGACCTGTCGCTCCATCTGGGGGTCCGGCGCCCGCCGCTCTGCCTGGGGGCCCGAGACCTGTCGCCCCGCCCGGGGGCCCGACGCCTGTTGCCCCGCCTGGGGGCCCGACGCCGGTCGCCCCGCCCGGGGGCCCGATGCCTGTTGCTCCGCCCGGGGGCCCGCTGCCTGCTGCTCCGCCGGGGGCCCGGTGCCTGCTGCTCCGCCTGGTGGCCCGCTGCCTGCTGCTTCGCCTGGTAATCCGATGTGCCTCTGCCCAGAGTCCAGCCCGATGTGCCTCTGCCCGGTGTGCCTCTGCCCGATGTGCCTCTGCCCGGAGTCCAGCCCGATGTGCCTCTGCCCGGAGTCCAGCCCGATGTGCCTCTGCCCGGAGTCCAGCCCGATGTGCCTCTGCCCGGAGTCCAGCCCGGTGTGTGCCTCTGCCCGATGTGCCTCTGCCCGGAGTCCTGCCCGGTGTGCCAGTCTTTGATATCCCGCCAGTTACCAGACCCGGGCGGTGGAACATTTTGCCCAGCTAGGACTGTTTGGAGCATCCTGAGGCCGCTCCTTGAGGGGGGGGGTACTGTCAGGAATGGACTGGCTAGCAATAGTGGGACTCAGCTGCCTTATGAGCTGCAGTACCAGGGCTGGCCAGCGGGAGCTCCCAGCAATCAGAGACTCAACTTTGCAGCCAGCTAACACCTGGAACTGATGATACTGGTGTATTTAAGGGATGGCCAGACTTGCAGACTCTGCCTTGGTGTTGTGTTTGTCCTGGGCCCTGTATGTGTCCTGCATCCTGTTTCTGTTCCTTTGCTGACCCTGCCTGATCTGAACTGCTGCTGACTTCTCCTGCTCTGATCCCGGCTCGCTCCTGACCATCCCTCTGCCTGACCCTCTGTACTACGCTGCTTGCTACCTGCTGAACCTGGCCTGTGACCCCCGACCATTCTCCGCTTGCTCCCCCTGTACCTACCTGCCCAATTGATATTGACCCGGCCTGCCTGACGACGCTTGCTTGTATGTACTGTTATCTGTGGGTGGTTGGTTTGGTTTGTTTGCACTGTATTATGTTTAGTATTGCACTGCGTTTATGTTTGTATTGTTAGAGTTAATAAAATTATATTGTTTATCACATATCTGAAGTCTGCATTTCCCTGCGTCAGTCACACATCTCTGGTCATACCTGGGAGCCCTGACAATTCCTGACTATTCCTCGCTGGTGGCCCCAATCACTTCTTTGACCCAGAAGGGTGCCAACGCCAGAACCTGGCCTCCTGAGGCAATCAAGGCGTTCCACAAACTAAAATCCACCTTTCTCTCTGCATCTATTCTCGTATGTCTGGACATTTTTCAGCCTTCTTCTTAGAGGTAGATGCTTCATCTTTGGGAGTGGGGACTGTCCTTCTCCAGATGCATGATGGTAAACTCTGTCCTTGTAACTTCTTCTCTAAGACGTTTTCGGATGCCGAAATGAATTACAGCATCGGGGATTGGGAACTGCTGGCTATAAAGCTGGCACTGCAAGAATGGCGACATCTGCTGGAGGGATCTCCACATCGTATCCTGATTTAAACTCATCGTAAGAACCTCCAGTATCTGCAATCCACCCGACATTTCAATCCCAGACAAGCGCGTTGGGCTCTCTTCTTTGCCAGATTTCACTTTGACATTGCCTTCCGGCCCTGTTCCAAAAATGCTCATGCAGATGCCTTGTCCAGGTTATTTGACATTTCTGACTCTGAGTGTCATGTTGAACCGGAACCTATTATTTCTACCAATCGTATCCTGGTCACCACTCATCTTCAGTTTAAAACGCATCCCACCCGGAAAGAACTTTGTGGTCCCCGCCCTTCACTCCAAGCTACTCAAATGGGCACATGACTCTAAACTCTCTGGTTATCCTGGTATGCAACGCACCTGTGCCTTCCTGCAGTGTCATTACTGGTGGCCTTCACTTTGGAAGTATGTTGAAGAATATGTTCATGCTTCCTCCATTTATGTGCAGTCTAAGTCCTCCACATCTGCTCCAGCAGGTTTCCTTTACCTCTACCTGTTCCAGATGAACCTTGGTGTTGCATTTCCATGTACTTTATCTCTGAGCTACCCCCCTCAGCAGGTTCCAATGTTATTTGGGTGGTTGTGGACAGGTTTTCTAAAATGTGTCACCTAACTCCACTTACAGTACTACCTTCTGCTGTCACTTTGGCTTCCATCATTAAGGAAATGTTCTGTCTTAATGGTATGCCCTCACACATCATCTCTGATAGAGGTGTGCAATTTACAGCTCGCTTCTGGAGGGCTGTGGCCACATCCTTTGAAATCAAGTTGGACTTCTCCTCAGCCTTTCATCCACAGTCAAATGGCCAAACTGGTAGACCTTTTATCCTGGGCAGAGTTTGCCCTTAATAACCACACCAGTGCCAGCACTGGTGAGTCTCCCTTTTTCACTGTATATGGTCATCATCTTTCTATACCATTTCCTGTTCCCATCTCTTCTGGGGTGCCTGTGGCTGCAGAGCCACAATGATCATTCAGTTCTACCTGGACAGAGGTTTCCAAGAATTTACATCTGGCAGCTTCCAAGTACTAAGTAGCTGCAGATTGTAATCACTGTGTGAGTCCCAAATGTCTCTGTGGTGACAAGGTTTGGCTCTCTACCAAGAATATCCATCTCTCTCATACCCTCTATGAAATTTGCTCCTCGTTCCATTGGTCCCTTTACCACCCTCTGCCAGGTTAATCCTGTTGCTTTCAAACTTCGCCTCCCTTCACATCTAAGGATCCCTTATGTTTTTCATATTCCTCTTCTGAGACCATACATCATCAACAGGTTTTCCCATCCTCATCGTCATCCTTCCCCAACAGTGAGTACCACGGATCAGTATGAAGTCAAGCAAATCTTGAATTCCAAATTCATCAGAGGGAAGCTTTTGTATCTAATTGACTGGATATGGTCCTGAGGAGAGGTGTTGGATTCCTTCTACTGATGTTTCTGTAGCCCATTTGGTGGAACTTTTTTATCAGAAGTTTCCTCTTAAGCCTGGCCCTAAACAAGTGGAAAGACCTCGTAAGAGGGGGGGTACTGTCATAAGATAGCCTGCAGTTTCTTGTTTGTGTATTCTTACCTCCTTGCTCCAGTGCTTCTCCTGCCCTGATTCCTTTCACATGTGTGGTTTTTCTGTGCTCATCTATGAGCGTTGCCTGCTATTCTCTGGGCTTTATTTCCTTCCCTTCCATCATTTCCTGGGCCGCCTCCTAGTTTGCTCATCTATATAATACATTCTCAGTCTAACCCACTTTGCCTGAGCAACTTCTTTGTTCTCTGAGCTCCCGATTGTGTCTACTCCTGTATTCTGTGTCTGACTACCCATGTAACAATACCAACTTCATCCACTGACTGTGATTGTTTTCCACCCATCTTGACCTTGGCTTGTCTACCGGATTACCTGTTGTCTATTGCTACAATACTCTGCATCCTCAGCTGGGCATACCTGGGCGCTGCAACCTGGTCCATCCCCAACATCAAGGGCTCTGGTGAAGAAGCAGGCTGGGGCTTAGACTCTGTGCCCTGGGGAACCCCAAGTTGGCGATCTACAAGGTCTCACTACCACAGATGTTTGACAGCTATATATGCTGTTCAGTTTTGTTGGTGTTTAGTGGTTATGAATAAGCGCTAGTTTGTTTTTAAACGCATTAACCATTGATGTCCCCGACACTGTCTGTGATGCTGATTTTATCCACACAATAAAGATTGACGAGTGCAGCGGATCCTGAATGTTTTTCCTATTTGTGGTCCATATAAACAGGGTCTCCCTGCCCCCGACAACACATACAGAAACCCACTATTTTTTAATTTCTACTATAAAACATATCCAATAAAAATAATACAAATGTCAAATTTCTTCATAAATGTTGGCCAAAATGTATACTGTTACATATTTTTGATAAAAAAATCCCAATAAGTGAATATTGATTGGTTTGCGTGAAAGTTATAGTGCCTACAAACTATGGTATGTATACTGCAATTTTTTTATTTTTTTTATCTTTTTTATACTACTAATGGCTGCAATCAGCAGCTTATAACAGGACTGCGACAGCATGCCAGGCAATCTGACCCTAACTGATGCTGAAGGGAACTAACTACCGCTGACATCACCAGTGACAATACAGTGATCAGTGATAATACAATACACTGTACTAATGACACTGGCAGGGAAGGGGTTAATATCTAGGGCGATCAAGGGATTAATTATTTGCTTAACTATGTGTAATGTGTGTAAAGTGTGCTGTTTTTACTATTAGATCTCTAGGTTTATGATCCCTGCTTTGAAGGGATGAGAAATTGACAGATCGCTCCTTCTATACATAGTTGTGTGTGTTTTTTCCCAACACAGAGCTCTGGGCTGTGATTGTACACAACTGATCAGCAGGTCCCAGCCGTGAATCATTGGCTGGCCTGGGACTTGCTGACAGGTTCCCTCTGTGCACAATCACACACGTGCCCTAAACCTGGAATTAGGCAGCGACGTGCTACTCCGTCCCTCTCTCTATTCTCTCTCCCTCCGTCTCTCATTCTCTTTCCCAACAACCCTCTCCAACCTCCCCCCCGTTACTTACTCCTGAACTTTGTGCTCCATGTATTACTAAAAGCTGGTACACACGGGCCACATAACACCTAGTATCAGCCGGTTCAACAGAAACTACCAGACATTAGCTGTCCTTCCAACAGAAGCTGGTCTAAGAATCAGCTTTCACCAATGGGACATGCTGGAAAACAAGCATCCATTCTTATTAGCGTGTTCTGATGGGGTGGGGGGGAGATCCCCTGTGAGATCACAAAGGCACAGCGGGAGAGATCACTGTACTAGCATCGCTTAGTACAGGGATATCTCAGTTTTCTTTCATTCAGCCTGCTGATTTGAAAAAAAAACTGTGTGTATCAGGCATTACTCCTAAGCTCTGCACTCTGTGCACTACTTACACCTGAGCTCTGCTCCCTGTGTGTTACTTAACCGCATAAGGACCACCCACAGTACATTTATTGCTGCAGGGCGGCCCCTGTATGCAAAATCACGTATATACACGTGATTCGCGCTCCCGAGGTTTTTGCAATCCGGGGGGGGGGTGCCCTGATTTGATCAAGCATCCGATTTAGGCCAGTGATGTCCAGCCCAAGTCGGATGATCGATCCCTGTCCTATCCTGTCCTGTGTTGACAGTTACACAGGATGGGAACTGATGAAATCTTCTCTCTCTGGGCACATTCCGTCTTAGAGAGAAGAATCAACATAAATTGTGAATAAAAGCACTACACAATTACAGTTAGAACACTCTAGGACACATTAAACCCCTTGATCGCCCCCCCAGTTAACCCC